GACAAACGTGTCATCTACATATCGAACCCAAAGCTTTGATTTGAAGAACGGCAGTACTACAATTTTCAATCTTTATATTACTACTTCTGCAATTAGTCCTGATACAGGTAATTCCTTGCTTGTAGAGTTTGTCATTGAAATGAAAATATGTTGTAAAGCATAAATCAATCAATTCCATCAAACTTGAGCATTACGGTTGTGTCCTGAGAGGTATGTTTCATTGTTGAGTAGCAGAGTCATTGTATCCTTAGGTAGTTCCGGTTCAGTTGAGGCGTATAGATCCATAACGTCGAAAAACACCACCAGTTCGTCATTGTCAATATAAATATGCCTGATCTTTTTCAGAAATTATGTCGAAGAGTTGTCTACCAGCTATTTTAGTTTTCTGAAGAGTTCTTTCGAAAGATTGTATGCTAAAAGTGAAACAATTGGTCGTAGTGGGATGTTAGTCGAACAGATCCATTGGATTTGTCCTGCATTGACGAGTCTGTTCAAGGTCCTGGTGAAATGAAAGTCAAACTTTTTAATAGGATTTGTCTCAGCTGGGTGATCTACATTTCGATTCATGAGTAAATCTTCTGTCTTTTTGATGCAATCACCTTTACCAATGACAATGACCCACTCTATCAAACAATAAGAAACAACAAAAGGTCAAATTTCAGGTCATCACGACAACTAATCAAAATAAATATAGAAACAATGATAAGACCTTGTCAGGAACAAACAACCACACACAAGGCCATCAGGAAAAGCTACTAAATAAATTGTGGAGGAAACCTTATAGCCCACTTCTTTCTAAAGTTTGTGCTGATGTTGTTGTCTAGAATGACAATGAAAGCTTTACGATTGTCATCCAGCTCGGAGAACACAGACCGTCAAAACTAGGAGATAAAATTCGAATCTGAACTAATGGGTTCTGTGTCTGAGCCTCAGTGGGAAGAACATCATCCAATAGAATGCATATACATTCAGCTGAGAAGTTCCAATTAGACAGAAGCACAATTACTGTACTTCGCTGCTACCCATCACCAAGCACATTGTAAAATAACATCCTAACACTTAGAAATAAGAACACTACCGGAGATAAAAGTGAATTCCCGTATACTGTTCAGAGATGTTAGAACAGTGATACAAACAAATCAGTAAAATTTACGTAGATTTTCGATGCACGGACTCCTGTTTAGAAGTAAGAACTTCAAAAGAAGGTTTTTAAAATGTATATCCCCAAGTGATTAAGGAATAGGGACTCTCACAGAATCTAAATGAATTCTTAAACGATGTTTCAGAAGTGGTTACCGAAAGCTATGAATAGTCAGGCCACACTGACCACATATGCCACAATCTTCGGAACAGCATTTTGTTGCATCAGTACGGAAGATGGTAGACAAACAGCTTGTTAATGCGTACAATTTGGAGTCTGGCTCTTATTTCTCAACGTTTGTTCAATTTGTATCTTCTGAAAATTCATGGTGAAGATAAAAGAACACTTCTTTAATTATTGAGACTGACAAAATCAATGGTACTACATTCCTAAACTACTATTTAAATAAATTTGATGAAGCGTTTTATTTGTCTTCAACCATTTAACATATTGTAAAGATAAAAAGAGCCCAGTTGAGACACACGGCCCTCAACCAACGAATTGTAGGTTCGAGCTTCGCTTTTCATAAAACCGGGTAGTACCATATGGTTCAAAACCTAAAACTTCAGCGTGTGTATAGTTCATAAGAGAATGTCCACAATAATTATGTATTACACAGATTGTAGAGAATCTATAGCAATGAATGCTAGTGTATCAGCGGAATCTCGACGACCCACTACTGTACTCGTCATGAAGGTATTCTAAATGCCAGATGTGTAACTTTCATATTATTTGATATTTTAGTATGTTCCCTAGTAGTATTAGAATTAACGACAACTGAGTAAGTGCAATGCCATACGTCTACCGACTTTTTCAGCGACAGGTATGACTACGTAAAAATCTAATTTTCCTTGTGATAAATTAGCCTACTTAAACACTTGTAAGTAGTAATACCATTGTTGCAAGAGTAAAATTTAGGCATTGGGGTGGAAAATAATCCAATATTTGATTATTTATTTGATAAAACACAAAGTATTATCTGCAAGATGACATTTCGAACAGAAATTGTTGCTCATAATCATACCAAAGTATTGACCAGGCTAGAGATATGTAAAAATGTACCTCAGGTGTTACATATATTTTAAAACTGTATGTGGAAAAGATATAATGAACTGACGAATGTGGAAAAAATAAGTTAACGGATTCACTCTACATACTTGATTATACATACCACAGGAAAATACATATTTTTTGGCAAAAAATGATATAATCTGAGGTGGAGCAACTGATAAATGAACAATTTTTTGACATGTCGCTGTTGACAAATATACGGAGTGATGAAATCTCTGACATTACGTAGGAAAGTTGGTATTATCCCTATACTAAAGAATGAGTTCAGAAAGCTTTTACTTTCCGAGTATATCCAGGCCAATTTTAATGGTGTTATTTCGTCAAACTAATCATGCTGGAATAGGAATCCCTTTAGGACCCTATTAACTGACTGCTCACATCTGGACAGCAGTAGGTTAAATAGCTTTACACAACATACAGCTATACGAGCAATGCATAGATGACATCTCCATTGTATGTAAAAACAGATCAGAGGGGAAAATACTATTGGAGAGTTTCAACTCATTTCATTTAAATCTGACTTTCGCGAAAAAGTATAAAGAAAACTACATACTCAGATTGTAGATGCCTGCCTCTCGTGAGAACGACCAACGGACTTATAGAAGACTCACAAACTACCATGACTTACTGAATTATCTCAGATGTAAGCCACTTCGATGTTGCACATAGGCCTTGCTGACAAGTGCCAGGAAGTACGGAACTCAAGTATAGGGTTTTCCGCCGGAGATCAACCACCTAGCATCAATCAAGAAACACCGTGACGCTTAGTCACCCAGCTCGTTAATCAAATTACAAAACGATCGTTAGAATTCGGCCAGCCATAAGGACTAAACCTGAAATTGGTTACTCTCCAATGAACCATGCACTGTTCCAAAAAAGCATCTTGTTCAATCTCCTCTCAGAAAAAACAACTACCCGGTAGGCTAACAAAGACTATCCTTCTACTATTTGGTTGTGTCAAGCACGATGGACAAACATTACTGAAAATATAAGCATTTAAAAAAGTAGATAAAGGTGAAGAGAATTCGAATGTAGACTCCTTGTTGGAAATTTACAACCAACAATGATTAAAATACTACACCTTACAGCGAAGTCACACTTCAAAGACCCTCCTTGAAATTATAGAGAATATTCGTAGCTCGGGTGAATGTTCTTGACTGTGTTGGGATTAAACCATCTGGTTTAACGGATACAAACAAGAAACACTTCCCCTAGCTATCTCAAAAAGTAGTCCCTCCCCTCTACATTTTAGTATTTTATTTTGTTTTCTGAATATCCACCAGTCAATCATTAATTCCTGTTTCCTCGATGCTGCGCTGCATATTAATGATATACAGTCTTATAAAAAGTTTTCAGAATGGTATTTATGTTTAGACTAACGGGAATTATAGCAAGATCCAAGATAACTATGATCTCCAGATATGTTTGACAATGAGTATATGCCGACTAATTCACTAGATTTCTAGCAACCAACTATGAATGTTGATTTGAACTCATAAATTTTAGCACACTGGTGCTAAACTTCATGCTAGACTTCTAAATCATAATTTAGGAAAAGATAGGCACTGTTGCCATTTTCAGAACGCTATCTGACATAACAGTTCAACTTGTAGCAACTACAAACTGCACACTCAGAGATAATAAAATATCAAAAGATAAACTCTTGAATATATAGTATAACAAGAGAGTAATAAACTTATAAAGGGATACAGAGATAATGCGTTGGTGCTAATATAATCAACTTTCAGACACTTCCCTGCCTTCTAATGACAATGAGGGAGGAAGGGAACAGAAAGTCTGGAGATAAGAATGATAACTAAACGAAAGAAAAAACATTCGCGATATACTCTGACACGTGAAACTTGTTCTTGAATGTAATTTTTTCATTCAAATAAGTGTAATATAAGTCTTCAGTATACGGAATGCATGACAAGCGGAAATTATTTCACGTAGAGCGCACGAGAAGACTAAGGCTTCATACTACCTCTAAACATTAGATACTTGCATGTCAGTAATCAGTAAATGACTTTCAGACCGATTTAACTAATTATAATCGTATCGCGCTGCATATGCAACGTAAAAAACGGCTTAGTTAGTTTTACTTAATTTCACTCCTCAATTTTTATGGCATTACAACTTTCAAAATTTTGCGGAATCGGGACTCGCGTAGCTTAAACGCGTAGTGTCTCAGTTCAATAATCTGATGTTTTGATACATCTGATTATGGCGGCATGCATAAAAGTAACCAAGTCGTCCACGTTTTGGTTAAACATGTCTTGGCCTGACGATAAGCTTAGCCAGGTTTGTACTTTCTGACAACCTGACTGACAGATAAACCAACTTACCTTCTGTATGTGGTGTGCATGACATCATATTAAATCGTCCACCATCAAATTTGTGCGGGGACACTCGATCATCATTGGATTACAGTTTGAACAGAGTCATCATCGAAATGCGTTCAGCAACGTTATGAACATTCGTGAAGTAGGTATGAAGGTTAATGGTACTATCTGTCTGCCCAAACCTCGGTAGATAGAGCGTTGTTCGAACCCATGACCCGTCGTTTGGAAGTTAACTCCCTAAGTCAATGAGCCACAGCTCCATACAGAGTTATCAAAACACTTGGACGGAGATACAGAGTTCCAAACTAAATTCCAATATTAACCACTGACAAATAATATCTACTATTTACCTTGTGGATAAACCGATACTGAATAAAAGATGTTTTTCCCCTCAGATAAAAATCTACTTTCCATAGATAAAAACTCGCTAAAAATTCGATGAGAATACATTTAAAGCAGCTACTTTATTTTATATTTAGGTACCTAAACAACTTTTAACTCAGTAAGAAAAGTTTCTGCAAGTTGTTTGAAAATGAAATTATTTGACTAAAATACTCTCAGTAGTCGCTTGTAGTAAAAATATGTCAACGATAAACATAATCTGCTTTCAGGTTTTCAGCAATTTCAACTTCCCATCGGTCACCATTTTGTAGCAATTTTTCCTTGTTGTAGAGCAATTCCTCGTGCGTCTCAGTGGAGTATTCAAAATTTGGCCCCTGTGAAACAAAGCCAAGATAATTAAAAAAACTAATATCACCAAGTCGCCATAACTACAAACATTCAGCTTTTGCACAATTAGAGAGGTGAACACCAAACTTACCCGTTACAAGCCGTAGTTCACCAAACGGTTGGGACTGTTATAAATAAATATTAGAATGATCACTTTACCCTAAGCGTTACTTCCCACCATGAATGAATTATGCAGCACAGAAAGTTATACTTCCTGCATTAATGAACTCAAAAGAAATAAAGTTGGCTTATCGACAGTTATTTTCTAACTTCCACACCAATTCAAAGTTACTAACTATCAGCTAACCCCCTTGACTGTTCGTTTTGAATGAAGACCACATTACACTTCGTATGCAGTACAATGTCCACTCCAAAAGACAAATACCGATACTGTCAAAAATTTCAGGAGGGCGCCTTTGTGTTCTGTGGTGAGAAATCCGCGTATGGGCAAATAGTCAGGTGGGTCCACTAGTTCTTAAACAGTAGTTTTCATATAGTGGTTGGATTGGATATATCAAATATTTTTTTCCTGTTAAAATCGATCCCGATGAACACAGTAACAGGTTGAATAATTCTTTTAACTATGAAAACTGCGAAGAATAACATTTCAGACAACAGCTATTATGAAAATTAGTTGCTAAACTTTAGAAACGCCCCAAGGAAGTTGTGGCCCATTTGTTTTAGCACTAGATTCTTGATGGGTGAGATATGGGTATCACTTATCATGGTCTTGTCATACAATATCATTAAAAATCACAAAATGTAGGACTGAAGACTACGGCACGGTTTCTGTATCAACATTTAACCAAGACAAACATGATATAACTGAATAACACTTATAACCTACCTAACAATGATCTTTCAGCTATTTTACAATCCTACTTATCTGCCTACTATGAATTTTGTGCGACCAGTATTAAAAACCAATTACTTGAAATATTGATAACAGTGCAAATTACCAGCTAGGTAACGACCTATCCCTGAATTTCATTATGTATAATTATTTCATTTTCTTAACTGGTAGACCAATTACTACCCTCTTAATACCTTCATAAAAAGTTGTTTCTTACTGACTAAACTCTCACCATAACATTGGTACATTATTAGAACAAAGCCATGTATTAGTGTATTTCAGATGACGTAATCGAAAATTTTTTATTCGTTTAGCTTGCTGTTGAGAAAGTGATTTTAACCTTATCGAAAGATCAAACACTTTCTAGAGATATAAACACCCATTAACATGAGTTCTACCTTTATCAATCAATGGTCAAACTTGCTATCGCTCGCAGCACATTAAGATACAATGAGGCAAGATGGAGGCCCAGAAATGGGAAAAATATGATCGAAAGTCTTAAGATAGGAGCAAACTAAAATTTATTTGCTGTGGTCATACTAATGTTTCATTTGTGGTGTTCTGGAAAACGTAAGTTCCAATCTAAGTGATCTGCGTTTTTATGCCGTAAGTACTATTGTCAGGATTAAGGCGATTGTTTTAGGCAACTTAAATCAAGCATTCGGATTTTCAACTTTCTCCAGTTTTATTGTTATGAAGTCTTTGCATGTCGGATATACTCATTTTTTTTGTCTTCCCGCTTTTCGACCTTCGCCTTGATTTACTGATGTGGCGATTTGAACCACCAAACAACAATTTCAGGCGCTAGGTTCTTAATGTCCGTTTGTCTTGTTATACTCAGTCACGTAATATAACTTTTGCGGCAATCCCCCGATAAGTATCAGTCGTTAGGTACAAGCATCACGATTTGAGAAGTGAAGCAGAAATGTTTCACTAAAATAAGAGTAAGATTTCGTACTGTTTTAGATTGTCCCGGAGGTCCTAAAAAAACGTTAATATCCAAGGGACATAGGAAAACAAATTTTAAAAAATCCTATACATTACTTGAAAATAGTTTTTAGTGCTTAGTAGGATAATACACTTGAACTTTTTAGATATGAATGCATATTCTTAAAAATGCACAAAAATAATGTTATTAATTATTATAATTGGCTAGAAGAAACCATGTAGGAAAATAGTTGCAGAAAAATTGAGTTTTTCGTGGAGAGTAGCAAAAATAAGTGGACAAATGTTATACATATGTAGACATGAATCTATTACGTCTGACAGACAAAATCACCGTAGAACCTTGCGAACAAGTGCATCAGCTCATATTGCCACACTTGACAGTAAAACAAAAAAGAACAAGTGTATGGAAAAAGAGGGATATCAAAGCAAAGTTGTGTGAGAGAACAAACAATTTGAAGATAAAGGGTAGCGCAAATATTCAAGCGTCAGAAGGTGAATACTTCCGCTCCGTTGTGACCAATTTTCAGCCACATCACCAAGAGTCCTCAACCACTGATTTCTGTCGTCTCAGGGACCCCAACCAGGTAGGCTACATGGCTCAGACCAACACTGAAGAATTTTATCGACTGCTGCCACTTACCGGTCTGGTCACTAAGATCCCTCTTACAACCCAACCCAACTGCCCCTAGCATTGCGTGTCCAGGTAGGCAGTGGCCCAGCATGCGCAGTATAGATCCAAACCACTTTGGTCGCTGAAGATTCACAACCTCACCTATCTTTAAACTGGGAGTATTTGCAGATTAGTCCTGGAGTATTATCTTACACTTGGTCAGTCTAAAACGCATGCCAAACATGCTCAGATTTCTGCTGAAGGTATTCAGAAGACCCTGTATTTTATCAGCAACTTCACCTAGCAGGACAATATTGTTTGCACACTCCAAGTTATTCAGACAACATTCAAGGAGTGGATCAAGCCTCGTGAAGTAGACGTAGTTAAGGTTGTGTCCAACAGAACGCCTATAGCGAAGTCAAATAAGAACGGAGACAGTGGACATCCCTGGCAGACACCACTTGTTGTCAACTCACTTGACAACTCTCTATAGGCCTTACACAACTGTTATAAATTTGTTCGGTACTTCCTTCACAGTAAGACGCTGTCACGCGACCTCACGGTCGACAGAGTCAGGTACCGGCTTCAGCTCAAGAAATATGGCAAGTGTCGGTTGCCGGTAAGTGTGCCTGTTTTAGGACATGTCGGAGGGTGAAAATATGATCGATGCACCCTCTTCCAGCTCTGAAATCTGCCAGGTTTTCTAAAGCCGACGGAAAACTACGGACCCTAGGATTTTGTACACGATATCAATATGACAACAAAGAGTATGCGTTCCAGTTACGATAGTTTATCGGGCCATTGTGATATACGAGCCCGACCACCACATCAAGTTAAAGGCTATCAGTTTATTACGTTTGATAACTTTGGGACCTCTTGCACATATTCCTAATCCACCTATCGTTCACCGAGGTATTGGGTGTGACACACTTCAGGCATTTTACTTGGTACAAGTTTGTAATCTAAAGAGAATTATTTTCGTAAAGATATACCTTATTTATGTTTTTGACACTGAATAATAAAGCGTTTCAACATAGGACAGAGAATTCTAGACGATTGTTAACTAACCATCATTAGCCTTCACTCTAGATAATAGCGAGATAAAATGTCTGAAAATGTTACTCAGTCAGGACAGTAAAGGATGTAACTCCTTTAGGCAATCTATTATAGTGAGTTCAGACTTCAATCATAAGAATCGAAAATCAGTTGGTTTGCGTTGTTCCCTGGCATGACTTATTTCTATAAAAATCCGGTTTTTGATTGAATACGTTTATTATTTGCTGAAGTCAGAAATCACGTAATGAGACAATCTGTAGTTTGTGCATAGTTGCTTTAATGACGACTAACAAACCATAGTGATTTACAACATGATCAGTTCTTGGAAAAGTGAAGAGACTACATATAAAGACCTTCAAAAATGTTCTCAAAAAATAAAATGCTAATATGAGATCTAACTTTTATTGATAACATAAAGAGAAAAGGATTAGCCCTTCTAACCTTTCTTAATAGAGAAAGTCCTGTCATTAACCTAACATTTCGGCGTAGTACTCAGGAATTTTACATATCCTCATGGGAGCATTTGAAAACTGCATGAAAATATCACAGCATTTGAGATTATCCAATTCTTACAATACACAATCGTCTTCATGTTATAACTTGCGATGATTACTGATAACTTTTAATTTAGGATGCTATGCAAAAGTAATCCATTAGGCAGTGACTAAACTCATTACAATCAGTGCGCATTAGTAAACTTCTGATGGAACTGATCTCCAAATCATATCCTGAGACCCTTGGTTCGACTCATTGTTGTTCCTTTCATCAAAATGAAACTTCAAGCAGCACAAATCAGGAGAAACAAGTCACATAGAATACAAACATCGTGAAAACAAAAGGAACCTAAGTGTGGTAGACACAAAGTGGTCAAGATATTATCAAGGAAGCAGTCTCATGAAACAAATTCAGAAGTGTTCGTTACCTAAATCACAGCGGTAGTGGCCATTGTGATGGAGTTTCGAGAACAGAGTTTTGTAATTTCCAACTTACGAAGTTTCCACTGATAGTGAGGTATCCAACTATCCGTTAAAGGACGAGTGTCCTGAGCATCAGTTGGCTTCGTCCTACCATATGACTAAGACATGTTTGTTGAAAGTAAAAGATATGAAGAGGTCACAACCATTGTACCACAACTGTCTTCGTAACATTGTTGGTGTGTGGTGAAACTACTATGTGAGCAATGAAGAGATCAAGTGGAAGGCATTAGACAAGGAAACCAAGTGAGTCAATGAATGCGAAACTTCACCGTGGCTTTCACGCGCATTATGCATGTTGAAGCGTCACTTATATCTGCAATGCTAACCGAAGTAGGACTTAATTCCAAAAGGGCTAGAAGTAGCCAGGCCAAGACGTGACCTTAGTTACTGAAGTCTCTGACTGTTGGTGTGTCACGTAGGAAGGTGTAGATTGCGTGCAATCCTAGAGATAGAATTCAATGGTTGAACTCTTCTAAACAGCTGCTATTACTCACTAATTCATGGTACCTTGCAGCGGCCTCCAAAGCTTATCTCCATAGTGGAGCATCACTTATTGGCATTAGTATAACTTGTCATCTAGTTGCTACACCGAGCACAACCAACTTGTGTAAGTCTAACAATTTGGGATGACAGTTGAGATCTTCGTGTACATGCTAGATGAACTGAACAGACAGTAAAGCATGATGGTCTACATAAGTGTTCTAGAAGTTGTGGGTTTTAGCCCACTCGTTGGTATCCAGTAGCAACAAAATCCAAGCAGGCATAGATTTGAGCGGTAGACACCATGTGACAAGACGGTAACAGCTGTGCCAGTCCGTCCTAACCTATCGCCACTTAAAATACCCCAAATACTAATACCGTCAGTGCAAACGACTTGGACATTTTCAGCATCCAATAGAGCATAGAAGCAAGAAAACATTTTAGGACGGAACCATTAGGAGATCCAGTTACCGGTTTCCTTCTGTGCCTTCCCAGGTGCTGCGTTTTTAAAGTATCTAAAAGTTTCCAAGATAATACCATCACGATCAAAGATTTTGCATAAAGAAACCCTATTTACGAACTCCTTAAGAGGATACATTTACTCAAGAAACCTAGTAGTTTTTTATCATTTAACGAATTGGGAACTCAAGATTGAGTGAAAATACTCGACTCTATAAATTGAAACTAAGCATATTGTATGTCTCAAAATAACAGTAGTTACCTCAACGATAGCATCGACAGGACATGCTTCCTGACAAAAACCACAGTAAATGCACTTCGTCATATCAATGTCATATCTAGTCGTCCTTCTGCTTCCATCAGCCCTCGGTTCGGCTTCTATTGTAATGGCTTGTGCAGGGCATATAGCTTCACAAAGCTTACACGCAATACAGCGCTCCTCACCACTTGGGTAGCGACGAAGAGCATGTTCACCTCGAAACCTAGGACTTAGAGGCCCCTTCTCAAAGGGATAGTTTATAGTTGCAGGTTCTTTGAAAATCATACCCAAAGTAACGGAGAGGCCTATATTAACCTGTGATAAGCAGCATATAATTAGTTACCCCTAAATATATCTGCCAGCATGAGATACTTTGTTATCATTTCAAGTCCAGTTTGCAGACATTCCTCTTTTGGACGTTGAGCAACCACTTTGTAGGAGGCATTGTAGCCAAATGTATGGAAGTTCGTAGCACAAATCCTAGCTACGGCCAAACATCTTGTAGAGCATATGAGTCTGGGAAAGGTCATGGGGGACTTCCCGCAACAAATGGTACGATGTTCAATATTGCACGTTAAGGTAAACCTTCAGACTTCGTGTTTTCGAACTAGCGTACAGATTGTTTGCCAAACAGTTGTTAGAAATGGTCGTTGAAGAAAGATAAAAGGAATCAAAAGATGGCCAGTATAAGAGGGGATGAAATTAGGAAAAACATGGGTGGAAAAGGGTGAAAGGGGAAGTCTAGGATAATTCAGTGGGGGAAAGAAGACAGTGATATGGAGAAACTAGTTCAAATGTTTCAAATGGCTGTTGGCGGGATAGGAGAAGCTTTCACTTGACTGCGTTCTGCGTCTAAAATCCGTAGGTCGCTTCTTCCTGTGGCTGTCAGCCTTTGTGCAAGTAAAGACAGAGGAAAAAGTGGCGGTTAAAATGTAAAAATGAAGCTGGTTATGGGCGAATCCCAGCCCCTTATCAAATAAGTATCTACTTGGCGTTTTAATGATTCAGATGAAGTAGCCTGGATCACGTCTGCCGCAAGAGCGTTACGGGGCTTAACAACTCTATGGGAAAATTTGTGCATGATATAAAATCTGCTGTGTTCCAGGCTTAATTTAGTATCCATCCTAAGATTACCACTATAGCCACGGTCCAGTGAGTGACACAGTGGGCATCCCTGGATGCTCAGGGTGTTGTGAGTCATCGTCAAGTTTCCTCTTAGTCTTCTACATCCCAGAGGGCGTAGACTCAGCCCAACCAGACGTTCTTCGTATATTTTAGACCTAAGCCCTCGAACAAATTTGGTTGGGTGCCTATGGATGCATTCTAAGGTTAATTTGTCCTTCTGCACAGAAGGGGAAAGACGAGGGTTTCGGACTCCAGGTGAGGCTGTAGGAAGCTTTTGAAAATCTGGCAGAAACGTTACGATCGAACTGTCCTAAAATTCGTCTGAAGGTCACCAACACCAAGTTTCGACGAAATGCGCTTCTGTTGCGGTTGGAATGGGATTTTAAACCATGTAGGCCAAAAATGACCAGTTCCTTCTTCGTCAGCGACGCTTGAAGTTCCATGCCGTCGAGGCTGTAAATATCACATGCATCGTGACTACGTGTTTCACTATGCTGTTTTTAGGATTAAATTACCCAGTTTTGAGGTTCAGTTAAATCTTCCCATGGAAAAACTCCGTCTTCCTTTCTCTTGATTTTTCGCTGTGGTTTCGCATAATCGGTGAAAAGGAGGATTTTAGGAGAGTCATTTGTGTACATTAGAAAAACAAGAGGCCGTAGTACTGAACTTTGGTGGCATCACTTGGACATTCTGCTCCTTCGGACATAGAGGAATTCACCAGAACTCCAAACGACCTCGTAAATAAAAAGACAACCAGCCAGTGAACGATGGTCTCATTCGGATTAATTACGGTTCATCAATAGGGCAGTCGTCGTTTAAGGGGGTCAAACGCCCCAGCAGAGTTTAGGTAAATTACATCAATTCGACCTCGATGGTCGACAATGCAGGTCGGTCTGTCTACTACAGAGAGCAGATTAGTAGTGCACAAGTACCGTCTCCGAAATCCATGTTGGTACGGCGTAAAAAAATTAGTTGTTGTGGGTTGGCCCTTCAGTCAATCATGGACTAACGGTTCTATTTCTTTGGAAGGTGTGGATAAAAGTCTCACCGATCTGTATTTCTTTGGGTCGCTTCGTTGATCCCCTTTGAAGATTAGCGCTATGTGGACCAACTTCCCACGATAGGGCAGTCTTCCTTGACTCAAAGAATTCTTAGATAACTTATTGAAAGGTTCGGACAAGACTGATGCCCCTTCCCACAGTAAGGTGGCGTGCATTTTGCCCGGTATCCTTGTGAGTAGTTGACGTTTGCGCCCGTACTAGTCCAAAGCCGAAGTTAACGACCGAGAGTTCTACTTCATTAGTGAGATATTCGTAAACCTATGGGAAGATGGACGCTGACGAAAAGATTTGTAAATACTGGTCAGTACCATTCTTTTTGCATTCGGCCCAGTGGTGTTTCTTTGACCCAAGTAGCTTGCAAGTGTAGCTTCTTACTGCCTTAGAGAGCTGGAAGCACTCCGGACTTGAAAGTGGAATAGGCCGGCTGGTTGTACGCACGATTTTGTCAGGTATTAATCTCCAATTGAAGTTCAAATCACTCCATACATGGTTGACTTTCGAATCTGTCTGTTCCAGCGCGATTCGAAAAGCCGGAGTTTCAAGTCACCTGAAGTTCCAAAGATGCTCACGGAAAAACCCGGTTAGATCGGTTTCACAGACTTACTGGAAGTCGATAACTACGCGTTCACTCCTACCCAAAGGAGGAAGGTTTGGTAAGTCACCAATCAAGAATTCTTCTTTCATGAGGATGCAGCCGGGCGACACCGGGTTAGCGTCTGCCTCTATCGCGTTAGCATCCTCAGGGTTACATCATACAGTAAGAAGGATAGAAAGGAGCAGGGAAAAATTAAATTTTCGGCAACGGAAATAGAAGTAGCAACGGTGTTACCAGCAAGACTGTAACTAAGGAGGTAAGAAGTCTAATTAAATGGTGTGCATTATAACGGTGGCAGTGGCCAAGAACCAGTGTAAGAACGACAGGAAGTGTTGGACTGATGTGACGTCAGTTAGTTGCATCAGCCTCGAAAGTCTGTCAGTATGGTCACTTCATTCCATGTGTCTCTGAATGGGCGTCCAGGGGTTTCTTGTAATTGTTAACAGATGCAGAGGTAATTCCCTCTGCAGGCAATATGTTCCAGCGGTAGGAGACTCTTAGACAAAGGAAAAGCGAATGCCCATGATTTTCTCCTTTGTACCGGATAAACCTCTGATGGACCATGACTAGTTTGCAATGATGACACACGAAAATATGCCGGAGGCTTTAGTGAGATCCAGAAACGACGTACATTTGCAGACGCCTGGAGGTCCCAGCAAGCAATTCAGCTGTTACAGGCTCCTAGATAGGAGCTTAGGATCTGGCCTTTCGTGAGCCATTTTCAGCACACTTGACTGCTCTTTTTCTTAGACAGCCTCCTGATGCAGACATCCATCAGGCTTTCCATCACATCTGAAAACAACAAGTTTCAGGGGTATGTAGAGCTTTGGGTTCTACCTATCTCCTAGTCTGAAGACGGTAGAGAGAGTGACACGTTTCCTCCATTGTAGGCCTCGTGTCTACCCAAAGAGTGTTGGAAAAAGCTGAAGAGAGGGCTAAATAAGGTGGTCGTATAATGTTTTGATGCGGAGTGGCAAGTGTCATTGCATCCTGTGGATATTCCTGTCTGGAAATTTGACAGTCTTTCGGGAGTTAAAACAGTAATCTACAGTCTGTGCTACTCTCTCGAGTTAAATGATGCCTAAGGCTGTTTGGGCTGTGGGCATGTGTGGTTGGATGACGATCGGTTAGCTGACGCTAAAAGCTGCCTTAATCTTCAGTTCGATGTAGTATTCTCCACCTGAACCTTTCATTACGAATGCTTTGTCAATAGCAGATTTTCTCCCCACGACGAATAGACAAAGGTTCTTCGGGATTTTCGCAGGTTTCTGGATAAGGTTTGACTGAAACAGGCATCCCACTGCGCATTATTATCATTATTATCTGTCCTTCGGGTTTCTGGTGAAACGCACAGCTTCAAAAGCACGTAGCAATTTCGCTCTCTTCCTTGCAGTCTTTTTGACCTGGCTCCCTGACTGCCCACCAGCCTACATTTCTTCCCCACAGCACCCCCCCCCCATGTCATCCTCGGACTCGCGATTCGGCGTTTCCCCTTTGGGTTTCGCTCGATGGCCTGACGTGCGATGTCTTCGAATGGTTCTTTCAGTGTATGCCCAATCCATCTCCACTTTCTTCTGCATATTTGTTGGGTAACGGGTTTTTAGCTGGCTCGTTGCCAGGTCAGAGTTCCTTGTTGCCTATTCTTTCCGGCCGTCTGATTTTGAGTATCGAGCTTAGACAGCTGTCGATGAGTGTCTGTAACTTGTTGGAAGTGCCTTCCATATGGCACTAAGCCTCCTAACCATCACACGAAACCGCTGGATTGACTGACACTGGTGTTGAAGTCCAGGCCTTGTTCTTTATGCCGAGCGCAGTACAGTGCAGCAGCCTTCTACACTGGTTTCAGATTGATTAGGGCCTATCTTGCTGTTTTTCTGATCCCAGCTTTGACGCGCTCATCTGTGCCTGTGCCGCCTGTAGTTGAAACGACGCCCCCTAGGCGGGTGAAAGAGACAACTTCTTTTACACTTCTCCCGTTGATGGTGCTCGTAGTTGTTGTGGCTGGTTGGACGTCTTCACCCCTCCTGTCTTCTCTACGTCCACCCAAAGAGAGTGCAGGCTTAGTTGCCCTGCCTCTTCTACTAACTTGCCAGTTTTTGCCGGCAGATCTCCGAGTTTCTGCCGTATCAGACATAAATCGTTGTCAGTGAAATTCATATCTTCTAGGGTCTTTACATCCATCCAACCAGCGTATGCCTATCTTCTCATTCCCCAAATTTTTTTGCGTGACCCAGTCCAGTCGGCCACAATCAGAAAGATCATCGGTGATAACGTGTAGCAACCTTGTCCTGCTCCTGTCTTTATTTCAAAAGCATCACCGAGCTTACCATTGTGAATCACCCGGCATGTAGCGTGGGGTTTTTGAACAAGGTTGATGAAGGTTTGTGATAATAAAACTTTAGCGTTGAGGCAGCAGCCTGACGAACTACTTCTCGGTTGACGTTATCGAAGACCTTTTCAAAGTTGATGAAGTTGAGTTAGAGGGTTGACTGCCACTCTATACTCTGCTCTTTGATCATGCGAAGCGTTGCAACTTAGACTGCGCACGGTTTGTTTGTCCTGATGCCAGCCAGCCTGCTCCGGTCTTATTTTTGAATCCAGCGCATTTTCAGTTTCTCCAGGATGGTGCCGCCTAATATTTTGCTTGGGATGGACAGGAGCACGATTCCGCTGCAGTTCTTGCAAAGACCTGGGTCTCCCTTCTTTTGGAAGTTGACGAGGTAGCCCTTCTCCCACTCGGGAGGTATCTTTCCTTCCTTCCAAGCCTTCTGTAATAGTGGTGTGAACAAGTCCGCCGATGACTCTGCGCCTTTTTTCA